CACACCCTCAGGGCCCTCGCACCCACCGACAGGGTCAGCTATGTCTCGCTGCCCAGCTGAGGTGCAAGACCTGCTCTCTTGAGTTCCCCTGTGAAGGGCAGGGCCATTTCTCCCTAGTGTTGCAGCCAAAGAGGGATGGGCCAACTCTGTGTAACTCTGTCCTCTCAGCTAACAGGAGCCACGGACATCAGCACAGACCACGGCTGCAGCAGGGCACAGGTACTGCCAAGGCCCTTGGCAGCAGCCCAGGCTTGGACGTCACCATGGCCCCTCACGGCAAGCAAGTCACCCACATCAGCCCACTTCTCACCACCGTCACCTCTTAGGATCTGCATCTCTCCACAGGACATGAACCATTCTGCCTCTCTCGCTCATTCATACCCCCATCCCATATTTGCTCACAATAATAGAGCCCGGCCACCCATGTTGTCTCCCCCCCGGCCCAGGGTGGAGAGCTCCAGGCCAGTATGTGGATCTTTGTCTCCTCTTCAATCTCAATGGCACTGGCAGCCTCCTGTTGTCTCCCCCAAACCCATCCCTAAAACTTGCTATTTAGGCAGTTCTGTGTAAAACCTTGCCTGTACCTATTTATCACAACATAAGCATTTTGTTATTTTTAAAGTCTATTTTGGATCAACAGAAGTGTTCCCTAAATTTGTAAAAGGTCTAATGTTTTGATATGGTTTTGAAGCTTATACACACATATGTGTGTATATTTTTGAGTGTGTGTAAATACATATATATATATATATATATATATATATATATATATATATATATTGCTGGCTAGTCTTATGTCAACTTGACAAATAAACTAGAGTTAAAGGAAGGAACCTCAATTGAGAAGATGCCTTCATAAGATCTAGCTGTAAGGTATTTTCTTAATTAGTAATTGATGGGGGAGGTCCCAGTCCATTGTCAGTGGTCCATCCCTAGGCTGGTGGTACTGAGTTCCATAAGAAAGCAGGCTGAGCAGGCCATGAAAAGCAAGCCATTAAATAGTGCCCTTCCATGGCCTCTGCTTCAGGTCCTGCCTCCAGGTTCCTGCCCCATTGGAATTTCTGTTCTGACTTCCTTTGATGATAAACAATAATATGGAAGTGTAAGCTGAATAAACCCTTTCATTCCCAAGTTGCTTTTGGTCATGGTGTTTCATTGCAGCAATAAAAACCCTAAGACATTTATACATAGCATATATATATGCTATGTATAAATGTCTTAGGATATATATATATATATATATATATATATATATATATATATATATCTGTGATGTTAATTGTTGCCAGCTCTTTTTAGTTTAATATATTTACATTCTTCAAGTAGAAAGACTTTTAGAATGCACAGATTAGGAGAACATCTTGCCAAGCTGGTATCCTCCAAAATAGAATTGCTAATGACCCTAACGTTTTCCAGGCTTGTGTTTGTGTGCTCCTAACTGTATTGTGACTTTCAGTTTTAAGTGGAGGCCACTAGACATGCCTTAATGTGAATCCCAAGGAACATCTCTCTGATGAAAAAGTATTGACACTAGTAACCTAAGAAGCACCTCTGTATAACAATATGTTCTACTTTGTTTAGAAATATTTTTGTTTATACTTAAAAGACAAAATTAAACAAGAGATTTTTTTTCTTACATTGAAATAAAACTTAAAATGTATTTCTGAGAAAAAAATTAAGACAGCTTGATCATCCTGATACAAAGCTGTCAATCAAAGTGATTATTCTGAAGTGCTGTATACCAGTGGAAGCAACTAGAGTGTCTGGGCCGCTGCTCAGCTTTCCACAGTGTCCTAACCACAGCTCTTTAAATCTTTCGTCATCCACAGTTTGGGTCCTTTTCTAAAAAATTTATAGTCAAATTCATAAAAATTGACCTAATAAGCAGCTTTTTTTTCTTGTTAAGTGTGTTTTGTATTTTCCTTACAAAACTTTGTAACTGTTTTCTATTGGTATCTATAGAAATATGAGTTCTAAAAAATAACCTGAGCAGTGTTCTTTTTAAAAAAAATTTTAGATTTATTTATTTTATTTTATTAATGTTGCATACATGTATATATGTGTACAACCTGCATGCTTGGTGCCTGAGGATGACAGAAGAGAGGGTCAGATCCCCTGGAACTGGAGTTATGAATGGCTATGAACCACCATGTGGGTGCTGGGAACTCAGCTCAGGTCCTCTTCAGGAGCAACAGCTGCTCTTAGTCATGTAACCATCTTTGCAGGCTCTGATCAGAATTCTTGGGATGCCACGTCACAGGACATACACAGTTGAATTTAAAAATGGCTCCAGGTATGGTTAACCTCAGAGCTACTCCTCTACACCTTTTAGCTGTTTGAATTTGTTTTAAAAAGTGGGGGGTGATATCAGTACTGACTCTGTTGTGGCATATTTGTTCACCCTGTGAAGATGTATTTGCTGTGATTGGTGTAATAAAAAGCTGAACAGCCAATAGCTAGGCAGAAGAGATAGGTGGGATTTCCAGGAAGAGAAAAGAGGAGGAGGAATCTAGGTGTGCAGGCAAAACAAAGGGCCATGGAGAGGAATAGGAGGTGCAAGATGGAAGAGAAGTAAACCACATGATAGAATGTAAATTAATAGAAATGGGTTAATTTAACTGGACGGTAGTGGTGCATGCCTTTAATCCCAGTACTCAGGAGGCAGAGCCAGGCAGATCTCTGTGAGTTCGAGGCCAGCCTGGGCTACAGAGTGAGTTCAGGACTGGCTCCAAAGCTACACAGAGAAACCCTGTCTCGAAAAACCAAAAAAGCAAGCAAGCAAGCAAGCAATGCATTAATTTAAGTTATAAGAGCTAGTTAGTAACACGCCTAAGCTATCAGCTGAGCTGTCATAATTAATAAGAAGTCTCCATGTTGTTATTTGGGTGCTGGCTGGCAGGCCAAAAAAACTCATTACATATGACATCCAACATGGAGGCTTGAATATCCAAACACAGGGCCTGAGTAAGATAAGAAAAGTTCTGGACAAGGACCTGGATGTGGTTCCTAGTCCTGCAGTCTCTCAGGCACGCCAGGTAAAGCATGGGGTTTTTTGAAACAGGATATAATAGTATTAACTATCCACTTGAGAGGATCTAATCTCTTGGGAGATGAGCCTCTAGGATTTTCTTGATGCTGCTGCTAATTGATATGGGAAGACCCACCTTAACTGTGGACCACAGTGTTCTCTGGGCATGGGGTCCTGAACTGTGTACTTGGAGAATCAGTCTTAGCACTAACATGCCCTCACTGCACTCTGATTCCTGACTGTTGGATGCAGTGTGGCCACAGCTTCGAGTTCCTGACACTTTGACATCTCTACGGTAACAAACGTCAAAATAGACCCCTTCTTCACTAAGTAGCATTTGTCAGAGCAACAAGAAAAGACATTCAGGCACAGAGTCTTACTATGTAGCTTTGGCTGGCCTGGTATTATAGGCATGAGCTACCATATGATGCTAACTCCTGGGCTAACACAACCTGGTGTTCCCTGTGCAAACAGCCTAACTCAGCTATGGTATACTCTGACTGGTATTTCAGTAGAGTTTCCTTGATATTCCTTGGTGCCATGCCAATTCATTTCTGAGGGGACCATCTCCCAAGTTCCCCTGAGTCTGTAACCTAACCTAGGGTCTGTTCACAGTGCACTAGAATCTGTAGTAGTTTTTAAAAAATGGGTCTTCCCCCTGACAGCCTGAGCCGGGCTCTCAAGTTCATTTACCCCAGGAACTTGGGCAACTCTTTTGGCCCTTTGATTCAGCTCAGAAGAGTTGAAAATATCCTAGGAGGACCAAGTATAGATCAGGTAGTCAACAAGGACTGTAAATCAGATGCCAAAGGAGGGATGATGGGAAGGCCCATTGACTGACACAGCCTCTGAGAAGCAAGAGCTTTTATCTGCATATAGAAAATCAATAACATGGCATGACCACTGGAAAAGTAAAAGGAAACGTCACTGCTGTTTTTTTTTTTTTTACTCTAAAACCAGAAACCATATATAATAACTGTCTGTCACTGCCTGTGGTTTCTATTTTATTTGATTTATTGGAAATATTCTCAGATTTACACTTGCAATGTTAGGTATTCTGAACATCTTCTTGCTTTGTTTATTCCCAACATTTTATTTGCTGGTCAAAGAGCTTTTTTATAGAAGAGACATGACAAGGAAAGTGTACGGGGAAAGTCCATTTTGTTGTGAACAGCAGAAACAGATGAGCTAGTAAGTCAAAAGACAGGTTTGCTGTCAGGTGAGGAGGTGGACGGTAGAACCTAAGCCTGGCATAGGCTAGATACAGAGACCCACCTATGTGTCGGGACTGATGGGTTACTCCCAGCACCACTGTGGATGTGATTCAGCTATCTATCTTCTGGCTTACATCACACTACTTGAGACTCAGTGTCCTGAAAAGGAAAATCTGATTAGCTTACTGTGTACCATATACCCATCCCAAAGAGGGTAAAACTTTGACCTATGGGGACAAGAAAGCTTGCTCACTAGACCCATAAAGACTCTATCTACTACAGTGAGGCAAATGATTCTATATAAGGCTGCCTAGGGCTGGGGTGCAGCTCCATGACAGAGCATTTGCATGGTGTACACAAAGTCTCAGGCTTGACTGCTAGCCCTAGGGGAGTGTGGGTGTCAGAAGACAAACGGATATCTGTCTCTTGCTACCAAAAAAAAAAAAGGTTCAAGGGGAGTGGGTACCCAAAAAGCAACTGTCTAGTAGGGACAAATACAGATACTCTGCACCTTGGGCACAGTGTAATTGTTCCATGCATTCCTTACCTATGAAAACTGGTTAAAGGGCACTAGCAAGGGTACCTGGGAGATATCTAACATGGCAGCTTGTGAAAGAGCCATAGAGAGAAGATTAATTTTAAAACAGAAGTGGAAGATGCTACGATTGACTCACAATGAGACTGGAATCCTGAAAACATAGAAGGACTGTCAGAAAGGGAGACTGAGAGAGTCAGGATGAGGCTGCTGGAGGAGGGGGTCAGTTGTGTTGTCTTAAAATGGGAGGGATGAATGGGGCTATGATAAGAATAATAGACAGTCCATCTATAGTACAAGAGCTAGAAGCGGTCCTGGATGCTGAAATGACCCTCTGGAATGTCATACCTAGATTAGCCTCTTTTGCCAACTCGATCTTTAAACCACCTTTCAACTCCTCAAACAACACGATCTGTATGAAGAAGAAAGTAAATCAGCCAGAAGATTCTAGTTCTTCATCTGAAGCAGAACGGAGTTCAAAGAAAGTGAACTAGGGAGCAGGGAACATTGAGACAATTCACCTCATTAATTCCAGGATGAAGCCAGGAGCCAGGCACATAGAGGGTTTCCTGGGGACCTACATTCCAGTATCGTCCTAGGATTTGTCCATTGATGAACATGACACCCTTTTCCCAGCCCTGAAAAAGATATGGAGGTTTCAGATTCTAACTTCTAGATATAAAGACAGAAAACAAACAGACCCCTATCCCAAGGGCATACCAAATCTTGGCACAGGCCAAGATAGGATGGATCAACAACTCAGGCCTTTTTGGGGAGGGTGCTCTTGAGTCTGTGCCCTGCCCTGCCTTGGAGGTGGCTCAGCATCAGGCCACAAGGAGGGATCTAATTTCCATCTCATTTCCCCAGGTCTGACTCAAGCCCACAGAGAGGATGTACACTTACAATCCAATTATCATCAAAACACATCAGGCTTTTAAAACATAGCTCAAATTGTAAAATAGCAGAAGTGGTACCCAACGTGCCCTGGATGACATGCTTTGGATGGTGAGTCCATGCCAGTGGTACAAGTCTCTACATCTGGGGTTATGTGTGAGGACTAATGGGTTACACTCACTAAATCCCTGCTACAGGGCTTGCACCAGCCTGTCTCACTGGCACATGCTATTCACACCTCTGTTGTTTCCATTCACTTTCCTTGCCCTAATCTGATGGTCCTCAGAGAGAGACACCTTCAGAATGGCCATGAAGTGGCTGTGACTTGGGGGAGCTCTGTTCCCTGCCACAGAACAAGGTTCATATACTGGAGAACTTTTATGGAGATGCTTTTGGGCCAGGGGCTGGTCACAAGAGCAGGAGAGAAATGGCACCAACCTGTGTTTTTATAAAGATGTCCTGTGGAGGATCTGCAACTCTCAAGTGACTCAGGAAAAAGGCAGGGCCCTGAACATGGCTTGTCACTATTTCCCAGGACTTTGGAAGTTTCCTAAGAGGGAGTCAAGAGCCAATGAGAAGTTATAATTTTCTTCTAACATGCCACCTGTGACCTCTTCTATGAACCCTGGCACCCCACTCCTATTCGGTACCAGCTTGTGTCCTTGGCATGCATGATACAGTAAGGATTAGCCAGTGGACAATGAGACAGTCCCTTCTCTGCCCCCAGGCAGCTATGAAACTTGGCATCATTTCATTTAGTACTCTGGGTCTTGTTTTGTTTTTTTGTTTTGTTTTGTTTTTTTTTCCTGTATGAAAACCAAAAGCTTCATCTGGGGACCTCTGAGCATCCCTCCAGCTCTGTATGTTCACCACTTTGTGGTATGTTTTTATCTCATTTTGTTTATCTGCAGTTCAGTGATGGAACTTGGGGTCTCACATGTGCTGGGCAAAATGCTCTATCACTGAGCTGTCCTTCCACCCTTACCACCTCTGAGCCGCTGAAGCGAAGGCACCTACTTTTGTGTGAATGCGTTTCTCAATTCCAGGCTGTAGATCATAAAATGCCTTAGTGGAGTCTTGTCCAGATAGATGTCTCCAGTTAAACCTGTGGAGCCGGAGTGAAAGGGGAGTGAGGGAGGGGAGAAGGACAGAGGTTGCAGCTGCACTCAGTTTGGGCATTTGCCGTACACAGGTTGCGGTTAGGGTTCTCGCCCTGGAGGAAGGTGCGTTCTTGGCCTCATCTGTCTGGAAGGGTTCTGTACATGCCATAGATTTCCCCCTTCCTCTTGGTGGTGCTGAGGGGTAACTGCCAAGGCTCAACAGGCTCCAGGCATGCTAGGCAAGCATTCCACCGGTAAGCTACCTACGGGCAAGTCCTACTCGGGTATTATCCTCTGACGTGCACGCTCCTAGACAGGGCCTCACAGTCCACATGAACAGCACAAAATCATGGTAACTGCTGCAGATCTCACCAGCACAGGGCTTCTGGCTAGTCTGAATACTCAGGTTTGTCAAAGCACTTATGGTTAAAAAAAAAAAAAAAAGTGTGTTCCTTGGCTCTGCTCAGGAGTCCTGGACCTAAGCAGAAAGACAAACATAAGCCCTGGGTTCCTAAAAATGAAGACATGATATCCCTAGAGAGGAGCCCTAACCAGGGACATCACCATAGCTTTCTCCTACTGGCACCACTTTCAAAACTGCAATCAAAGTAGGTGGCAGTGTGATGGTTCTGGGTTGCTAACTACAGAACATAAAAATATCACAGTTTTTGTACAGAGGTATCTCCTAACCACCAAAGTATGTTCCTTTCCAAACACAAGCCTGTTCCCAGCTGCCATTGGCCTGGGGGAGAACAATTGCCTCTGATACTACATGACCTCAGCCATCTTCTTCTAGAACCCACCTTTTCTCTGCTTGTTAATATCCTTCCCAGAAGTGAGTCTGCCTTGGTTCTCCACCAGGATCCTCAGCTCCTGGGTTTTCTTGGAGGGCTATTCAAAAGAGACCAGAGTAAGCCTCACTTGGCACCTCCTTTAGACAGTCTAGGCCTCCCTGGAGCTGGGACAGGACAGGAGTAGGTGGCTGCAGAACCTTGTAGGTCTCCAGCTGTGGGACAGGCAAGCCCTTGTATTCTCACTTTTCCTCTTTTCTTCCCAGAGTCACCTGAACATTTTAACAAGGACTCTCCTGGACTGGTGATCAAGCCAGAGTGCTCTGAACAGCAAATATTCAAGCGGGGGGGAGTGTGGTATTCACTCAAAGAACATTCACCAGTACATCTAAGATGTACATAACCCTCCCTGTGGTTCTGGGTTCCTCTGCATGGAGCACCATGGGGAAAGGAGTGGAAATAATCTATAATAAGGCCTTGCTAAGTCTTGGCCCAGGCCCAGCTGGAACTGGAATGTCTCATGCATCAACTGTGTTATATACATTTTTCACAATAAGCAGCTCATCGTTGTAATGATCCAGGACTCCTACGTGGTCTTTATCCAAAAACACCTGGCAAAGAAAGAAGAGATCCCTGTTAGGGCCCTGTGAGGCAAAAATGGAAAGCGGCACTGAAAACCCAATAAACAAAGCAAGAGGCAGGATGAACGCCATGTCTCCCAGAACTGCAGAGACTCACAAGTTCACTAAAAACGGGCAATAGTTAAAGCAGGATCGTGAGAAGATGCATGAAGTACAGCCTTGGCTAGAGCTCTCAATGAAAACTGGACCCTGGACCAACTGCAGGCCAAGGAGGGGAGATGCTTAAGACCTGCAGGAAGCTGGAGGCGGGGAGGGGAAGGTAAGGACAGATAGGATAAACATTTTCAAGCTAGCAAAGCGGGGGAGAAGGAACCCAGGGACAGCAACTGTTCTGGGTTTGTCTGCCTTGCCCCCAGGGCCTCAATTCTGCCAGATATTCCCAAATGAAGGCTGGAGAGCCAGTAGCCACATTCTGACTTATTTTAGGGATGATGTTCATGTAAATCCATTTTTCCCTACTCTGCTGGTAGATTTTTGTCAACTTAACAAACTACTGTCACCTGAGAAGAGAGAACGTGGGTTGAGAAAATGTCTCAGATAATTTGGCCCGTAAGCAAGCCTGTAGGCAATCTTATTAATTAACGATTGGTGTGGGAGAGAGCTCAAGACACTGTGAACAGTGCCACCAAGAGCCAATGGTCCTGGGTTGTATAAGAAAGCAGGCTGAGCTACAGGCAGCAAACCAGTCCTTGCCTCCAAGTTCTTGCCTTGAGATCCTGTCATGGCTTCCCACAACAATGGACTGCAACCTATAAGTCAAGTAAGTCCTTTTCTTCCCAAAGCTGTTTGGGGTCACTGTGTTTATGACAAAAGCAGAAAAACTACCTAATAAAACTACTATATTGAGCTGGATGGTGGTGGCACACACCTTTAATCCCAGCACTCGGGAAGCAAAGGCAGACAGATCTCTGAGTTCCAAGCCAGCCTGGGCTACAGAGTGAGTTCCAAGAAAGGCACTAAAGCTACACAGAGAAACCCTGTCTCAACAACAACAACAAAAACCCCAAACTACTATATTGATAAACACTAGATTAAACCACTCAGAGGACCCTAGTCAGGCAAGACGACATAGAAATATTTTGCTTCCTAAATTAATTAATCTAAATCATGTTTTTTTTTTCAAATGTAATTTTGCTAGGAAACTGTAACAATAAAAATCCTTAAGTATCAGAAAACAAAAGTATTCCCAATTTAAGATTACCAGAATCTAATTACAGAAGTTATATGTTTTATGGTCATTTATCAAAAGTCAGCTATCCAAATGTCTTCCTGGAAAACAGGTTGCCTAGTATGAAAAGCACAAAGGAATGCTCACAACACACTCCAACAGCAAGCATGATGCTGTGAGCAGACTTCTGTGGAGGACTTGAGAGAGGAAGAACAGGCCACAGCCAGGCTGCTTTGCAGACATGGAAAAGGGTCTCATGGAGTCAACTGGAGGTGGGCAGCAAGCAGAGAAGTACATGACAGAAGGTTTATCTTGAGCAGGAGATTCGTGGCACTCTGACGGTGAAGTAACAAAGGAAGGTAGAAAGTGATGGGAGAGTCTGAAACAGGAAGACCAGCTGTGTATTTTCAAAAGAAGAAGAAGAAGCAAGACACCAAGACAGCAGTGTGAAATCTATGTGTGAAAATAATTGCATCTGGTGCAGCCCACAGGGGCTGGGTAAAAAGAAGGAACGAACACAAGGTAAAAAAGAACTTCTGAACAGAGATTATATGTGGGAAGTGGTGAACCCGCAAATGAATACAAGGCTGACCTAGGAGAGCAATGTATGTGCCCTGGGAAGGGAGTTTGAAAAGCCAATGGAATGCAGAGTAAGTACAGGTAATTGTCTACCAAACTGTAAGAAGATGTCACTGCAGCAAGAAAGAAAGAAAAAGAAAGGAAGGAAGGAAGGAAGGAAGGAAGGAAGGAAGGAAGGAAGGAAGGAAGGAAGGAAGGAAGGAAGGAAGGAAGGAAGGAAGGAAGGAAGGAAGGAAGGAAGGAAGGAAGGAAGGAAGGAAGGAAGGAAGGAAGAAGGTGGAGGAAGAGAGGGAGAGGGCTGGAGTTATAAAGACACAAAGATAGAAGAACAAGGTCAAATCTGATGGTGCACACCTTTAATCCCCACACTCAGGAGGAAGAGGCAGATGGATCTCTGTGATTTTGAGGCCAGCCAGGGCTACATAGTTTAGGCTCAGTGTGAAAAACAAACCAACAAAAACCAGAAGTACAGGTTGAATATTATTTATCCAACATGCTTGAGGCAGAAGTGTGTCAGATTTGGGAAGTTTTCAGAGTTTAGATTTCCACAGACTTTAGAAGTTAAATATATCTGATTATATAGAGATAGAGATAGAGATAGTTAGAGATGAGATAGAGATAGAGATAGGCAGACATACAGATCTTCATAGTACCAGAAATTGTTATTCAGGCTGCTGGGAAGGAAGCGTTATCAACAGACTTACCCATCTGTGACCACCATGAGCTACAATAATGACCAGTGTGGCAATATATGCCCGTGGGTGCAATAATGGCATGAATGTTATCATGGTAAACAATTGCTTTCTGATTGGATTTAAGTCCTGCTCCACAGGAGAAACCATATACCTGGCAATATAAATCTAATGAATAACCTATGTTTGAGGAACTCACAGGTCTCAGAGCTGAACTATTATTCAGCTAAATGGACACAGTATTTAAATCCATATCTCACTACTCATTGATTAGAGTAGCTCTGGGTCCTCATCAGAGAAGTTTCTTCATGCAGTGGACAGTGGTTAAGCAGAAACTCACTGATCAAAGTGCAGAGAACAAGTATTTGTGGAGTGCACAGCCACAAATGGGACCTTATAACTCCCCACCCAAAGCACAGGGATCATCTTGAGAGGGGATGATAAGATTGTAAGGGCCAGAAGTCAGGGGGGACCAGAAAAAACATTGTCTTCTGGACATGCCAGTTCTGCTGCATTCATGAACTCACAGCAACTGTGGTTGCATATATAAGACCTAAAGAAGATCAAGCCAGTCAATACTCTAACATGGGGATGGAAGAAGCTCAGTAACCCCCAATGGGAACTGAGGAGCTACAGACAGTTGATAGCTTCTGGGAAAGGGAGAGTCACTTTTCTTTAAGGGTGTGAGCCTATGGATTGACCATACTACTCCCAATGGATTCTCCCATACTCATAGGCAGACAAATTAGACTCTGTGGGTTATTAAGAAGGAGGAGGAGTTACTGTACAAATTGAACCAGCAGGACACAAGAAAGGTGACTGTCGAACTTGGCCAAGACAAGGTAGGACAATTCTTCAAAATTTCCTGCTTCACAGGAAACTCTGTCAGATATGCTAAGCCTGTAGGCCAGAGTTAGATGTCCCAACATTGCAGAATAACTTTGGGTGACTGTCCAGGCAGCCTGATATCCCTGTCATTAGGAAACATTTCATCATTCTCCGGTCTTTGATGGAGTTAAAGACTAACCAGTTAAACTTATAGTTTTACTTAGTTATGATAGAAAGCAAATTAGGTATAAAACTTTAGACACACCAAGATAACGTATATAATAGAGTACTTTTTCTAATGTTGTCAAATACAAAAAGACTGGCTATTGTAACTGTAATTCTTACTTGAAAACTGTTTTGTTGTATATAATTTTACTGTGTTAAAGTTAAAACCTTCCTTTTTAATTAGACAAAAAGTGGGAAATGCTGTGGGATAATCCTTCTGTATATTGTGTGAATATATGTCACTATAATTGGTTTAATAAACAAGCTGACTGGCCAATAACTGAACAGGATAAAGTTAGGAGGGAAAGCCAAACTGAGGATTCTGGGATGAGGTAGAATGAAATTGGAGGAGATGCCAGCCAGCCACTGAGGAGACAGGACATGTAGAAAATGAGGTAACAAGCCATGAGCCACATAACAAAGCATAGATAAGAAACATGGGTTAATTTAAATGTGAGAGTTAGGTAGTAACAAGCTTGAGCTATCTGCGGAACATTTATAAGTAACCTTAAGTCTCCAAGTCGGTATTTGGGAGCAGGTGGTTGGGACAGAAAAACTCTGTCTACATTGGAGGAAGAGGAAGGTGAAGAGGAGGAGGAGGACACAGACAAAGAGAAAGGGGAGAAGGAAGAGGAAGAAGAAGATACAAAGTTGGGAGGAGGAAGGGTGGATCTGGGAGGAGTTAATGAGAGGAGTGGGAATAAATGTGATCAAATACATGGTACAAAATTTTCAAAGAATTGATGAAATATTCTACTTTTAAAAAGTAAAAAAAACCCCTCTGAAGTGTGTGTGTGTGTGTGTGTGTGTGTGTGTGTGTGTGTGTGTGTGCGCGCGCATGTGTGTGTGTATTCATATGTATGGTGGGGTGCACATGCCCATGCATGTGCCTGTGAAGGCAAGAGGTTAAGATTGGGTATCTTCAATCACCCTCTACCTTATTTTTTAAGGCAGGCTCTCTTCATTGAACCTAGAGCTGGCTGTTTCAGTGAGGTTGACTGGCTGGCCATTGAGCTCCTAGGATCCTCCTGTCTCCACTCCCCTGAGCTGGTAGAATAGACATGTAAGACCATGCCTGACTTCCTATATAGGTGCTGGGAGTCTGAGTTTAGGTCCTCATATTTGTGCAGCAAACACTTACTCTGAATCATCTCCCCAGTCCCATCTGGAATTGTTTACACATCACATTTTCACTGAGCATTTCAGATTGTGGACTAGGAATACTCAAACTGAAGCCTTGGGGAAAGGTGACATGGAAGAGATGAAGAGCAGGAAAATTTCACAAAATAGCTCCTAACTTGGAGTGGGCTGGGGCCTTCAATGTCTGCACTGTGACTTCCCAGCTACATCCTTGGAAAGGCTTTTATGTTTCCTGAAGTTATCCTACTTGAAACACATCTCAGACTTAAATGACAAGAGCCAACCTCTCATATGCTATATAAATAAATATTGGGGATAAATATACAGTAAGTATAGTGACTACTGAAGTGCCTCCTGGATTTAAGAATGCTATCAGCTCCTATAAAAGGCAGGAGTACATGCCTAAGCATGTCTATGTATAAAAGATTTCCCTAAAAAGACAGATGATAAGCAACAGAGATAATTTTTTGAAGGTGAAATGATTTGATAACCACATAGACATTTACCTAAGTATCACAGGGTGCTAGTAACATAAAAGTGCCACTAGGAACTTCATATTGTTCCCTACCTGCCCTCGGTCTTGAATATGACCCCTCGAGGTGAGGAGGCCTCCATGGGAGATGGTGGTCTCATAAAGCGTGTACCCAAAGGACTGGCCATTTCCTTGGTTCACAGGCAGCAGCTCCATGGGGATTGGCTTGACAGACTTGGTTGGCTGAGGCAGAGACAGAAGTGACAGCCCTGTTGAAGGGTCAGGCTAGAGAAAAGAAGCTCAGGAGTTGCCACCCATAGCCCACTTCTCCAGGGGGATGACCCCAACAGCCTTGCAAACGGGAGTACTGAAAAGAAATACACAATGATAATCATGCTTACACATAACATATAAATTATCTTTTTTGCTTTCCCAACAAATCTCACATTTCACTGCACATGACAGCCAGTGAGTTATTCTTATAATTTAGATGAAAAGCTGAAATCCAGAAAAGCATAGGCATTGTGGCTTATGCCTGTAATCCCAGCAGTTGGGGAGCAAAAACAGGCGATTCCTGAAGCAAGTCACGAGAAAGACTAGCCAGAATTGATGAGTTCCAAGTTCAGAGAAGAGATTCTGCCTCAGTTTAGATAGATATAGATAGATAGATAGATAGATAGATAGATAGATAGATAGATAGATAGACAGATAATAAATAAATAAATGAATAAATGAATAAATAAATAAATAAATAAATAAATAAATAAATAAATAAATAAATAAATAAATAAATTTAAGCCAGACTGATCTACAGAGCTAGTTCCAGGATAGCCAGGGCTGCACAAAAAAAAACTCTGTCTTGAAAAACAAACAAATAAATAGATTATATAAATTAATTAATTAAAATTTAAAAAATTTTTAAAGTACAGAATGATCAAGAAAAGCACATGACATCAACTTTGAACCTCCACATGAATTCACACATATACACAAACACACATGTAGGCACACATGCACACACCTATACACACTACCCACACAACAACAAGAGCTCTTTAGAATTCCTTGGAAAAATGGATGATTCCAAGTCCAAGGAGGCACACAGCCTAGATCCTCCAGGGGAAGGAAACAACAAAGATGTTCGCAGCTATGGGTGTCCTGTCAAGAAGACACAACAGAGGCAGGCAGATCTCTGTGAGTTCCAGGAAAGGCACAAAAATACACAGAGAAACCCTGTCTCCGGGAAAAAAAAAAAAAGACACAAAAGTCAAACAGAAGGGATCCTGAGAGACTACAATGGGCCACTGTGAGCATCAGAGAGACTATGGTAGTGTATAAACAAGCTAAACCTTACACATTTATAACCATACGAAAACCACAGCAGCGAAACAACCCACTGCACCTTTGGAAGACACATGAATTCATGTTTGTGATTAAAGAAAATATTTGACCTGGCCCGTTCTCTGTACAAACCATGCTTTGTAAGGGTAAAAAGCTGATGAAGGACATTCTTCTGTAGAACTCAAGTTAGTAAATACAAAGGAGTGATAGAACTAAAGCATTTCCAAGGCATTTAATGAAATGTTGGCTTACATTGTCAACATGGCTTATCGGATGTCACCTGTACCTCTGTCTTCTGCCCCCTACTCTTTGTAGGGCTATTTTATTTTATTATTTCACATGTATGTGTGTTTTGCCTGCCTGTATGTCTGGGCACTATATGCATACCATCCTCACGGAAACTAGAAGAAGGTATTGGATCCCTTGGAAATGGAGTTATAGACGTTGTGGTCCATTGGGTCCTATGGAAGGATAACTAGTGTTCTCAATCCCTCTAGCACTATAAGATTATTTTAAATCATACCTCAGATGCCACTGAAATTCAATATTTATCTAAAAAGGGGGAGGCTTTTTAAAAAGAAGTTATCACTATGGTAACATAATCACAATAAAAGCAGTGATGGTTATCATTCCCTAAAACAGGAAATTTTAAAGGAATTTTTTTGGCAACTGACTTTCTATTTATGTACTGTAAATATTTCCAGCATGGTTAATTTCAATGCAATAAGATCAATTGCTGCTAAAACCACTGGGTAGGTACCTGATGAAGAAAGCTGAAAATGAGCATGTACACCAGCACCTAAACCTGATGACTGGCAGTGAAACCATCTGCACTGTACACAGTGCACAATACTACCTGTGAAGGAAGCTCACAAGACAGAGGTGCAGGTGACATCCGATAAGCCATGTTGACAATGTAAGCCAACATTTCATTAAATGCCTTGGAAATGCTTTAGTTCTATCACTCTTTTGTATTTACTAACTTGAGTTCTACAGAAGAATGTCCTTCATCAGCTTTTTGCCCTTACACATGGTTTGTACAGAGAATGGGCCAGGTCAAGTATTTTCTTTAATCACAAACATGAATTCATGTGTCTTCCGAAGGTGCAGTGGGTTGTTTTGCTGCTGTGGTTTTTTTATGGTTATAAATGTATAAGGCTTAGCTTGTTTGTACACCACCATAGTCTCTCTGATGCTCACAGATATGCAAGTGAAAAACAGTGGCATGGCGGTGTGCGTACCTGTAATTCTAGTGCTAAGGAAGCTGAGAGGAGATCATGAATTTGAGGCCAGCTTGGCCTACATAGCAAGACCCTATCTCAAAAACATAAATAAATAAAAGCAAAAGTAGAAAACACCGTGCTTAGTTGATAATGTACTGAGTCTTGTTCCCACCACCACATAAACCCAACATGCTGTTACAAGTCTGTATTCAGCCCTTTCTGTGATGCCTGGCTTCTTTTGTGACACTGTCCACACAGAGCTTTCCTGTGCAACCCTAACTACAGCTCTCCAGACATGCAGCCCTCCCTGTCTTTATAAGTGGATCCAGAGTGCCTCAGCTTCTCTGTCTCTCCACATCACCTGCTGCCATGCCATCTGCTCCTGTTCAGCCTTTCAGTCATAATACCACCCTGACTAGAGTGTTCATGGAATCCTGTGACTGTCCAGCACATGGTCTATATCTCTATAACAATGATAATAAATCTCAGTTCCTCCACCTATGGCCCATAACCCTCCAATCTGTTCTTCATGCATTCTTCTTACTCATTAGACTGAAAGTTGTCTAGAATAACATCCTGATGATACAGTTCCAAAAGAGTGATATTTGGTGAGTTTTGTAGGGATAAGCATGCAGTGTTTCCTTAGACCAGTTTTCAATCTGTGTTCCTGGGAACCCTAGCTAGAAGTAAGAACATCTTAGAGAAGGGATGGCTGCTGCTTACAGAAGAGGAAAGTTTAGTGCTCCAGAACTAACACCCTGACTAACCTCATTTATGTTTTATATGTTAAACTTAACGATAAGTTTAGAGAAAGCATTCCTTTATGAAAAACAAAAGATTAAACAACATTGCCCTAGGTCTAGTTAATGTACTTCCATTATATCACATGTTAAGAAGGCAGGGGATAGGGTTGGAGAGATGGCTGAGTGGGTAAGGGCAGTGTGCTGTTGTTGCAAAGGACTTGAATTCAGTTCCCAGCACCCATATAGTCACCCACAATAGTTTCTAACTCCAGTTCCAGGGGATCTGAGGCCCTCTTCTGGCCTCCACAGACACACAGTGGTCCACTCATACATTCAGGCATTCACACATTAAAGGAATCTTTAAAAAGGAAGGAAGAAAAAAAGAATACAGAAAGAAAGGAAGAAAAAGAGAGAGAGAAAGAAAGGGAAGAAAAAAGGAAGGAAGACAGAGAGAGTATGTGTTCACAGCTAGATCATGAAAGGGACTGTTTCCAGTGTTATACAATAGGTTTCCCACTCTGAAATGTAAAACTTGTGAAGGAACTAACACTTCCAAGGATTCATTTGGTTCCTTGGTCATCTGCTCCTTAGACTTTGAACTGTCCCTACATCTCCTATTTCTTTTTTCCCAAAGTGATACCATGTGTCAATATCCAAGAAACACTCACCCGGGTCAGATGGGGCAGGACTTCCCATAGGGTCATGAAATATAAGAATTTCAATGGTGCATAGGTAAATACATTTGTAGGTTTTCGTTTATTGGAAATATCTGCAATGAAAAGCAGATGGCTGGCCTAAATCCTATGACCGACCCAACACCATTCAAAGACATCAGGTACCCTGCTGTCCCACAGCCTCCCCAAATGAAGGACTCAGTCACATGGTCTGATTTTCCTAACTCCAGGAAGACTTAAGGCAAGTGCTAATGAGTAAGGGTCCTCTCCTATTCTTAGACATTCAAAGAAGGACCCTTATTGTCCTAGAAAAGAGGAGCTTGTTGACCCCAGCTGGTAGACCTAAAGATCTCAACCTACCTGTTCATTAGAATCTCCTGAAGCCCAGCTACAAACACACATGCTCTCAGGCTCCACCCTTTCTTCCACCCTAACCCAGGCATGCTTGCTGAATAGCTCAGAAGAAGGGGAGCTGGAAACTCTGTCTTTTAGAAGGTCTAGAGGATACCAGGCATAGCCAAATCAAGCAACATGGTCCCGTGCTGATCACATGAGAGCAGACCCTGTATTTCGTTTATTTCCAGTGCTGATGCTAAACTGGATCAAACTGGGTTTCTCCCTCAAAAGATCTTCATGCATTCCACCCCACCTCCTCCCAGAGCAGATCCCACTGGAGAAATCTAAGTCACCATTCAGACTGACCTTGCTGGGTACCTGTAACAGAGCGAAAAAACTCTTGAAACACCCTATATTCGGGCGTGTGTGCGCCAGCCTCCGTCAGCAGTGCATTGTAGTCTAAAGGACACAGAAAAATGGGTCATTTCCCCCACGAAAACCTTAGGATTAGCTTCTCTCCTTATGAAGAGGGAAAAAAACAAACCTTAGCTCTGAGCAAAAAGATCCATAACACAGCAACCTCCAGGGGAGAGCTTTGGGTACATGACAAGAGAAGCCCATGTATCTATTAGTCTAGATAAAAGGCCTCTGCAGAGCTTTGATGGGCATGGGGGTGTTAGAGGAAGCAAACTGCACCAGTCCATGGGCTGTAGTAAGTCCTGGCTGACAGCCTGTAATGCTCCATTGCAATGGCTTATCCTTCCTATCCAATTTCTTCTTTCTTGTTCTCTTTCTTGTTCTCGCTCTTCTTGTTCTTCTTGTTCTCTCTTCTTGTTATTGTTCTCATTCTCCTTCCCCTTCTCTTTCCCCTTCTTCCTCTTCTTCTTCATTCCCTTCTTCCCCTTCCTCTTCCCCTTCTCCTCCTCCTCCTCCTCTTCTTCCTTCTTCTTCTTCTTGAGACAGGGTTTATCTGTATAGCCTTGGCTGTGCACCACCAATGCCTGGCCTAATTTCTTTTATTTTTAATAAATCAATACTTTATTAAAATTTAAATTTATGATATTCAAAACACACTGTGAAGGTAATAAAAGACATAGGCTACATACTGTGACAAAACATTTGCCAAGCATATATTTAACAAAAGGCCTTCCATCTGGTGCTCAGATTTTTCAAATTTTCAAAATTACAAAAAAAACAAAGAAGCAACCTTTCTAAAAATACTTTTTAAAAATGGAACAAAGATGTGCATAGATACTTCCACAAAAAAAATTAAACAAATGGCAAGTCAGCAAATGGAAATATGTTCAAAATCATTAGTCATTAGGAAGATGCAAATTAAAACCATGATTAATACTAGGACATACCTGTCAGAATGATTACATTAAACAGAATCAAGAATGGAAAGGATGTGGAAGAAATAGAGATCTCATGTTTCTAAATAAACTATTGGCTTTTCATCTTAAATTTCCCACTTGGTTTCTTGGGAGATTTGGATAGTTTGAATGTAATTGGGCCCCCATAAGCTCATAGAGAGTGGTACTATTAGGAGGTGTGGCTTTGTTGGAGGAAGTGTGTCACTGTGGGGGTGGGCTTTGAGGTCTCATATATGCTCAAGCCATGCCCAGTGTCTCAGACCACTTCCTGTTGCCTGCAGCTCAAGATGTAGGACTCTCAGCTCCTTCTCTGGCACCATGTCTGCCTGCATGCTACCATGTCCCACCATGATGATAATGGACTAAATCTCTAAACTGTAAGTTGCCACCTCAATTGAATGTTTTCCTTTGTAAGAGTTGCTGTGATCATGGTGTCTCTTCATAGAAACCTTAACTAAGATAGAGGCAAAGAAAAATACATTTGTGGATACTCTGGTACTCTTAGGAGATCCAAAGCAACAGATAAAGCCAAGTTCTATGCAGCAGATAAGCAGGACTAAGCTACTAACCTCTCTGCTCACAAAGTCTCAGAAAGCCAAGACCCCAATATCTAGTGTGGTCACAAATAAATACTAAATCTTCAGTGTCCAACATACATAAAGTCAAAACAGATGAAGAGATCCATAGATTTCCCTTAGGGGCCTAACCTAGTATGTTCTATACTCAATAAGAAAGCAGCCTAGATTAGAAATAATTCTGGGGGCCTAGTACTTGCCATAGCTGGTCACTACAGGTAGATAACCATCTGAAGACTCAGCTCCACCTATGAAGCCAAAGTTGGTGCCACCATGGAACATGTAGAAGTTGAAGGAAAACCCAAAGGTGAACATCTCACGCACATCCTTCATCAGCACTGCAGAAAGATAGGAAAGAAAGGGGGAAGCAGAGGTGGGATTCTAGGATAAGAATTCACAGCTTGTGGTGTATATTCAAACTACCTAGACCTGAACCCTTCAAGGTCTGCTAGAGCTCATGCCCAGAAAAACATGTTAGATAATCCAGGACTGGTTGGAGTAGTTGGCAGTGTTTGTTTTCATGATCCAAAATCACTTATTACTTCTTTCTCTAGGTTTCATATTTGGGTGAATCTTTCTTTTTAGCATATAAACTGTATATCAAATATTGCTCATGACTTTTTAGGGGCATACCTGTGTCCAGCTTACTATTTCTATAGCACTTACCAACTTCTTAGTGACTGATCTGAAATGATGGCAGTAGTCACATTGACCTTCAACTCCATTTAAATGGCCATCGTCCATTCTCCAGGGAGAGTAAGAGAATGATGAGTTAAAATCAGCTGAATTGGGGTTATATAACTTCCTACTTCTATATCCAGCACACCTCCATGGTATTTCCATCTCACAGAATAATTTATTCTCATTACTTTTATAGCCTTGGTTAAGTGTATTTATAATGAAAACTATAGAAATTTAAGTTCCTGTTGCAATGACCCCAGAGGTGCTCACACTCTATGGCCACTCCATCTGAGAAGATATCTAGAAGGTATCTACTTAGCTAGGTTGATGTTTATATGATACAACATCTGGGAGTCTTGTCCCTAAACCTTGAGTACACTAACCATTTAGAAAAAAAAAAAGACAGAGCAGTGCCCCTGGTGTCACATGCTTCCCTGAAAAAGTCAGTAAAGGAGGACTCACTCTGTGGATCTCCAAAGTGGCGGAGAGCTCCCCACGTGTCAAAAGAGTTTGATGTATATACCATCATCAGTATAGGGCCTCTACCCTAAAGGAAGGGGGGAAAAAACACATCCATTTAGGAAGCTCTTCCACAATTCTGAAGCACTGACCTACCTGGAAGGGACCTGTGAAGCCCGGTGCTTCATGCCCTTTAACTGAAAGCACCCTGCCACATCCCAGGAGCTCTGAGTTCTGCTCTCCCCTATTCACATGATCATTCCAGCCACATGGTCTCCTCATGTGACGTCACTGATTTCATCTTTTCCAAGCTTTGGGAGGAGGCGTGGACCAACTGCCTTTCAAGACATCCTAAAAGTAGAATCTGGAAATTTCTAAAAACAGAATCTTTTCTTTCTCCTGGGTGACCAGAGCAGAGGTCTGGTAAGAAACGTCAGACACATTTTAAATGTTCGATTTTATGGGGCTGCATTGTTGAAGGGATTATGACAACTGCTGGACTTTCAACTAACAGCAGAAAGCAATTCCCTAGAAAGCAGAGTAAGCAAGAGTTAAGAATACAGCACTCAGCCACTATGACCTATGAACCAAGTGTTCTGGATTTATACAGTTTGAACCTAAAACCACATCTAATAGATATTTAAGGACACTGAAGATTCAAATTTTAACTAAACTAATTACTACTAAGGTTTCCCTCAATAAGTATGCCAAACAGTCAAGGGTAGGGCAAGAAGCAAAGTGTCTGTAATGTCTGATAGGTCTTTACTTGAATGGCTTCGAGGTCTTCATATGTTTGTTTCCTTATATTCTTCATGTGGACAGTGGCCAGCACTGTGGATAGAAAGAACACACATGAGTTCCTGCCATGACCACACAGGGCAGGGGCACAAGACCCTCCCAGAACCAGACTGCAGAGTCTGGGCCACACCTCTTGGACATATGCCTCCCAGATTCTCACTTCAGTACTTCCGTAGCCAGAGCTAGCAATAAAGATATGATGCTACTCTGAGAGCCACATAAGTACATACAAAGGGATTTCACACATGGTCCTTCACTTAGAACTTATAGTGATGATCTTGAAAGTTAAAAAGATGGTTAAAATGTGCCATATGCCACAAATTAATATACAAAAAGAAAATAAAATTAAGACTCCAAAAGTTGACATTTTTGGTTGTGGGGGTCAAACCCAGGACCTCTTTTCATACTTGTTCAGAACACTGTTCTAGCTTTCCAGCTACAACAGAGAAGGGCCACCAAAAAGACCAGGGACAAGGGTCTTGGAAGAGAATGGAGCTGACAAAATTGCTCAGAGGAAAGAACTTCAGAAATTGCTTTTCTCAGTCTTGGTCTCTATGCATTCATTTTTTTCTTCTTTGCGAGATTGACCCCATGGGCACATGCTAAGCAAATGCTCTACCCCTGAGAATTACCCCTCTCCTACCCCACTCCCAACTCTGCTTTTATTCTTTGGACTCATTCATTCAGATAATTGCCAAGTCTGGGTCCATGGCAATCCTACAACTCTGAAATGCCTCCATTCTCTGTTGTTCAGTCAAGGACACTTGTCAGAGCTGGAGACAACTTTTACTTGTCAAACTAAAAGTTTGAAAGGGTGGAGTAACACTCTGGTCATAAGAGCTGGTATGCAGCAAGGTTGGGTCCTACTTCCTAGCTCAGTTTTGACCACAAGTTCTTACCACCAGGAAGTGCAAGGATAAAGCATAGAAAGACCAGTGTAGAAACAAATGCAACCAATACCATACCATTTTTCAAGTGGCCCTTTCTCAGATTCAGACCATCATCTGCAGTCATGAGCAGCTCACTGATCCCTCTTGACACCAAAGCCTAAGGAGAAATTCAGTAAGAGAAATGAGTTGCCCCTCATTCCATGAGATTGCCTCTTCCTAGGGGTGGGGGAAAAAAGCCAAAACTATGCCAATGGAAATACCACAGTGACGTTGAGACATGGAGAGGAGGGCTTGATCCCCCCATGCAACCACTTTTAAGTTAAAACAAAAATATCTGTCCTGCCTCAGTCACACTCCTCAAGAGCAGTTCCAATTCCAAACCTCCCAGAGGAAGCAGAGAGGCAGTTGCATCACCCAATGCACTGATTTCCCCCAAAGGACCTCCAGGGGTTTCTCCAAGCCAGAGAACAGAAAAATGAATGCTTCTGTCCACGCTGCAGCCAAATTACCATACCTCGTAAGCCAAATCCACAGGACACAATTTCTTCAGTAGTTTCTTCGGTCAGTGGGAAGGGCAGGTAAACCTTTTATAATTTTTTTTTTAACTGGGTAAATATCTCTGTTGGTTGAGTGCTTGTGTATCACGCACAAAGCCTTGAGCTGGAGCATCAGCAACACATAGACTGGATGTGGTGATACTCGCCTATAATCCTAGCCCTTGGGAGGTGGAGGCAGGAGGATCAAAAATTCAAAGTCATCCTGAGAGCAGGAGGAAAAGGGACTACAGAACAGAAAGTGGAACAAAGACAAGGGAACAGGTCTAGTACAAATGTATCAGCAACGAATGTAAACAAGCTAGTCCCTCATTCACAAAAGTTCTTGGTGGTAGTGGTTGTAAGGATTATTGTTCACTATCAACGTGGCAGGACCTCAAATAACTTGAGGGGTGGGTCTTCACGCCTGTGGAGGATTATCTCAATGATATTAACTGCAGCAGGAAGATCCATCTGGATTGTGAACAGGACCATTCCCTGGGCTGGGGGCCCTGGGCTGTAGAAAGCACAGAAAGCAAGCTAGGCCCTGAAAGGAGGTGTGATGAGAGCGGCTGTTCCCGGCTCCAGCTGCTTTCACTTCCCCGGCTTGATGGACCTTGAACCGTGAGCTGAAATAAGCCCTCTCTTCCTTAAATTGCTTTTGTCGGAATATTTTTATCACAACCAGAGAAAAAAGAAACTAAGAGAGTGGTATTTGAGACAGGGTCCCATGTCACCCAGGCTGACCTCTAACTCACTCTATAGCTGAAGGTTATCTTGACCTGTTGACCCGCCTGCCTCCATCTCTCCCAAATCAACAACAAACCTGGCTGTGTACAACATATGCTACTTTTAAATACCCTAAGTATCCGATGGATACATCGGAAAGTAAAAGAATGGAAAAGCACATATTGAGTGTCACCCAAAAGGAAGCTGAGATATTCATAGAAAGTAAAGCTGTCCTAGTGTGGGTCTCTGCCATATATCAGAGCCATCTGTGTTATTTCCAGGCCACTGACTAGAATATAACCAAAAAAAAATCACAAATAAAGCTGGGCCCTATTCATCTTCATACTTCACAGTTCCGGACAAGCTACAGGTATTCAGGACATGTTTGCTCCACAATATAACAGACTCCAAGAAGCAGAGAAAAATTAAAAGAGCACTTACTGTTTTTACATACGACATATATTTTTTATCCATATAGTAGGAGCCATATTCATTATCAATTTGCACGGCAATGATAGGTCCTCCTTTTCTATACTGAGGGTCAAGGAGATAAGAATGTAAGAGTGAGATCCTGGTGGGAAAAGACTGGATGTTCTGAATACTGGGCACACATGTAAAAACAGCACCCCCAACCCCAGACTGGACCACAGTGCTGCTCATTTCTCTCACTCAATACCAGCGGCTCTATGTGAGAAGTCAAATGCTTCCAAAATAGTTCCCTTAAAAACATGCCCTGAGTAACTACCATTTCCCCACAGTTAAATGTGTTAATTGTGAGGTCTAACACTTCCAGAGTCACCCTTCCCATCTCTCAAGAACTTTGCATTTACCAGAGTCACCCTTCCCATCTCTCAAGAGCTTTGCATTTAGAGGGGCACTGCCTTCACACCTGCACCCCTCTCATCTTGATTTGAAATACCTTAGGCCCTATGTTAAGATTAACTTGCCTGGACCATCAGCCCCCCTAGTTCCCGCCATCTTGCCCTCTTCACCCTCATAGCCAAACTTATAATATATTTCCTCAAATTTCCTTCAGGAACATGTAGGATAACCACAAGGTACCTCACCTGGCATGTAGGGGCAGGAAAACACTATAAGGAATATATCCATGCCAATGATGTAGTTAGCCATGTCAGAGCATCCAGGACTGTGTATTCCTATGACTGAAGTGTTTGCACACTCAAACCAGACCATAATGACTGAGGAGAAATTTTAGACAGGGTTGAAACTGGAAGATATTAAGCAAACAGCAAACACTTGATCCCTAAGTTTTTTGGCGTGGAAGTTAAAAAGGACACAAGGACTAAAGGTGCATTTTTTAACTTTCTAAACTACATGTTCCTTAGCTGAAAAACATTGAAAGACTTTCAAAACCAGCTTCTTCCCTTTTCCCTTTCACTCCGCATCTCTCCAATGAAGAATAGAGCAGAAAAGAAGAAAGATCCAGAAGCTGTCAGTACCCGGAAAGATCTGAGGCAGAAGATCTAGAATTTGATAAATTTGATTGAAATATTCTAGAGAGGAATTCTCAGTAGTAAGGAAGTGCTGACTCATGAGGCTACAGGAGAATGTTTCCAAGACCCCTCAACATCACTAGGCTCTGGATGAGGTAAAACTCACTCAGCAGTTTCCAGGCTAAAGTTTCAAGGCTGCAGTATCCTAAGTTAGGAAGGGTAAGCACACTGGCTAACAGCAATGAAAAGGTCCTAGGTTCTGTTCTGTTCGGTTCTGGAGACAGGTTCTCACTATGCAGCCTTGGTTGACCTGGAATTCATGAAGTAGACAGTTTGTCCTTGAGCTCTGCCTGTCTCTATCTCCTAAGTGTTAAGATTAAAGATGTACACCACCATACCCAGTTTGAATTTTAATTGTATCAAAAACTGGTCTCAAACTCCTTATGACCAGGAAGATGATCTTGAACTTCTGGCCCTGATGCTTCTACCCCTTGACTTCTGGGATTACAAGCTTGAAATACCACACTGGTTTATGAGGTGCCGAGGATTTAAGCCAGGGCTTTTGTGGAAGGCAAGGACTCTACCAACTGAGCTATATCCCTAACCTGAGGTTCTATTTATGTTCTGCCAATATAATAGCAACCATCTGATTGTAGTTATTGGTACAGTGAAGAAGAGTGTGCCCTGGGAACTTAAGTTTTAATTGTACTTTGTTTACATTAATTTAAGTAGCCACGTGTGTCTATGGCCACTTTGTCTCTGAAAAGGACCATCTCGCCTATCGCCCAAATGTGCTCTGGCATGTGTAGTTTGGTCACTTATGAGTTTTAATATTTTCCTTGAGTAATTATAGTTAGTCTATTCCCAGCAAGTTCAGCCATGTGAAGCATTCATCTAGGCATATGCAATTTGGGACATTGCTTCCATTTAATATATACTAATGTAAAATAATTACTGTGAGGATAAAATTATAAGATACAATCAGGAAAAGGAGTCATCCTTTATATATAACTCACATCTGATCTCATACTGGTCTGCCAGGCCCTCTAGCACAAGGCAATGATGAGATTGATAAATTATTGGTAGGAAATGTGCTGGAGGCCTCAGAATTTCATAAAAAAAAACCACCATGTCAATAGTAAAGGTTTAAAAAAGGATTTTTCCATAACCTGGCAACAAGCCAAAGAAATAGTAAAGAAATGTCCTACGTGTTCCTTCTACAATCAAAC